AAAAAAAAAAATTCATCTACTGTGAAGGAGAAAGAGGCTGAGCAATTTTACAGAAGAAAAAAATACCAAGCTACAGGTGCCAGTAATTAATCATTTCCTCCTTGAATATCCTTCAGAAAAATCTCAGCCAATTATAATATTTTAAACAATTTTAAACATAGCTTATGTGTTATGAGCCTCTTGCTCCAGTAATACCATTTTCGCCACTAAATTTATGAAATTGCAATGTTTACCTTCTAGAGTAATACAATCCATCGTGAAAGCTCTGGCCAGCTGAGTAGACACCTCCATGCTACGACAAATTAACGTTTTTCCAAAAACGTGTTTAAAGGCTTTGTCAAATCTCGGATTGTATCTCAGTTTGCTGATCATAGGAATAGCATCCTGAAAAGCCAGGGATTTCAGTAAGAACAATACATTGACACAAGTGCGGCGAGTGCTTTGTAACGAGTATTTAATGCACAAAATGCAAGGAAGTCTCACCCCCAAAATTTAGCAAGAGTAGAATACAATATACTTTCCAACTTAAACAACAACTTCTATTCTCTAAGTTTCAGATCGAGATTCACATCTCATTCACTGAAGACTAACACTTGGCTGCACAAACAATAAGCTTTTAGAGTAAAGACTTTCAGAACTGTGCATACCAATATATGAACACCATGACAAACTCTGAACCAAATTGCTTTGGAAATAACAGCTGCTGGTCAATTAAGCAAAAGAAAAACACTTTTTATCTGGAGAATGTTTAAGCAGACTCAGGTGACTGCTTCTGCAATTTAAGTCTGAAAGACCAAGATTGAACTAAACTCATTAAAGTTAGAAAAATCTTCTTACTTTCAATACCACCTATATACCACTTAAAAGATAGAGTTTTAGCTTTAAAGGAGCAAAACCTAACAGGAAAGTATATGTTGTCACATAAGAGCTTTCACTATTAGGAAGCAATATATTAGAAATAGTATTTGGTCACCCACATTCAACACTCACACAAAGAAATGATAGGCAATAAGCAATACACTATTCAAAACATGAGGCTTTGTATATAGGGAGGGAATAAAGAATGGTTCAAAGCAAACTCTAACTCACATTAGTCTCGGGATAAGCAGTATCTCTAACATCCAGCTTGTTGAGAGGCAGAAAGGTAACTTCTCCCGGCAAGTTCATTTTGTTGAATTCCATTAAGATCTTTGTACTGACCTCATCAGAATCCACAATGTGATAAAACAACCTAATTAACAAGCCCATGAAACAAGCAACATTTAGGTCCAGGGAACATTAAGCATGCAGGTATAATACAAGTAACATCAAAACAAAGCTGTGCTGTGCTTTCTCTTCAGTTTCAAGTGCTGCTCAACCTTTGAAAGGCCAAGTGGAAACATGGCTTACAAGTTAGGATCTACCCATTTGTTCATTTATATAAAAGATTTCATTCATCTACTGTGCATATGTATAACATTTAATTCACTTCCATTCAAGTGAAATCAACATATAATCTTACATTGTACCATCCAGGCCCAGAATAAGCTCAGTAAGGGTTATTTGGGTTGGTTTTTTTCCCCCAGTACTTGCACAGTTTTCAAGTCAGCATAAAACCTCTGTTCTCCATATACACTATTGAGCCTCCTTTGTTTGCAGAGCTTGTTTCTAAATATGACATCACACATGCCAAAGATAACCTCTGTGTAAAAGCAATGGAAATGGAGACCACAGATATCTTCCTTTTGATAACTGATAGCAAGTCTCCAAGAAAAATGAATTATGTGTTATGTTCTTCACAAGTTCAACTACAGTTCACTACTGCATTTTCCAAACCATAACAGGATTTCGGGGCAGGGAGGGGGAGTGCAGGGGAAAGTGAAGTGCTTAAGAAGGCCTTGTTGACACAGAAGGGGGACAGCACTTGAAATTGTACTTTTATCAGCATTTCTGTGTGAGTTTGCACGGAATGCATCACATCTGCCCTCATTCTGTCCTAACGGCAACATGCAACTCCAGTCCTGTATCAGACCAGTCCCTCCATTTGCTTCATTATAGGCATAAAAACAAACAAACAACAACAAAACCCCTATACTACACAGTGGAGGGGACAGGAACGAGCAAATGTGACAGCAAATGTGAAACCACAGATTTTAGAGCACACGGAGAGATGAGCCAAATACCAAAGAAGCCTGACAAGACCCTCACTTTTAACACAACAACAACAATATCGATACCAACCATGCATGAGTTGAGAGGACAAATACTGAAAGGAGTGAACAAAACTGGGAACAGAAGACATCAGTTTCCCTCCTGGATAATGATTTTCTGCTATCATCTCCACAACTAAAATGTGCCTAAGGCTATTTATGTTAGTTTGAAAAGTCAAAAGGTGCAGAAAGTAGCAGACCACTAACAGGCATTTCTTCTGGAACACGTATTGCACACCGAGACACTCACTGCCTACTCATCATTTCTCAGACAGCTTTGAAATGGCAGTTCTCAGACAGTCTGGGGTCTACTTTCACACATAGTATCTTACTGTGTGGCAAGTGAAAACTCCTATTAATTCATATCACAGTTCCATTAAAAGGTAAAGGATCCTACAGTAGGCACTGCCCACTTCATCCAACAGCCAGCTGATTTCACTTTTTTTGAGACAAAATTTAGAATTTGGTTTTAAATGGGTAGAGTTCCTTGTTCTAAAATTATGAAAATTCAATAATGATATGTAAGAGTATAAAATTAAGAGAATAAAACTTTCAAGAGGAGAATTTAACTAGCAGTTAAATTCTAACATACTGCAGGCTACCACAGATACTTTAACAAGCAACACTGAAAAATATCTAATTACCTGTTCCCAGCTGTAACTTCAACACAAGTGTAGAAAGCTGGTTCACATTCAAAGTTATTCATCACAATCCCATGGTATCCATTTAGAACGTGCTGGTTTATACCTTTTCGACGGAAGTGTTCCAAAACTTTGTTTATGCTGTCTATACCATTTAAAATGGCCTATTTAAAACAAAACAAAACTCATTTCATTGCATCCACAAGTTAAAAAATAAAAATAAAATAAAAAAATCCAGCTTCATAAATAAGCTAGCCTTCATTTTTTCCAACTTCCAAGTGCAGAGAAACCTGACTTTCTCCAAGGAATGCAAGAGCTATAAATATTTGAAGAATACAACTCACAGATAATTTTTCAGTTTGTACAATGGACAATAAGGCAATTTATACTGTAACACTAAGACTAAAACCGAATCAAGTAACTGTCATATCTTTCAAATAAAACTGACTATCCTTTAAAAATGGAAAGAAAAGGTCCTACAAGGAATTCTGAACCATGCAGAGTGTCTTACCTTTCCTGTTGCTGCTCTAAGAAGCTGCTGTTTCTTTTCTAGGTCTTCTCTCTTTGCAGCGAGGGCCTGTTGTTCTGCATTCTCTTCCCTCCACAGATAACTGCAAAACAACAAAAACGTTACATGCGAATTAAGTGTGAAAGATAGCTTTTTCTTCAAAGACTGCTAATCTGATGGGAAACTAAGTGCAGAAGTTGATACATGGCTATATTTAAAAACATACCTACACGCCATGTTAACAACTACACAGTTCGGGTCCTTCATATTTAAGTGAGATTCAGACATATTTCAAGGAATTACTAACTTTCTTTCGCTCTGTAGTTCATCCTTTTTATTTTTCACTTCATAGTATTTTCTGTCCAGTTCTTCAACACGAGCCTTCACTTCATTAAGATCCTGGTCCAGTTTCTAACACAAAGAGAACAGCACTATGAAACTATACTCGAGCTCAAAATCTTTTTATTCAATATTATAATTACTTTTTAAAATTTAGAAGCAATGCCTACAGTTGTCCACCAATTTGCAACATAAACCGCACTAGGAACAAGGAAAAAGTAATCACTGTTCTAAAATAAATGTTATCTATAAGGAACGTTGAGAAACGGAATGACACGGGAGCCAGGCAAGTCTGTGTCACTTCCTAAAAATGCAGGCCAGAAACTAGGAAAAAAAAAAAATACATAAAGAAAGAGACAACTGCAGCAGTTCTAAAGGAGTTGTTAATGCACATATGTTTTTAATAATACATTTTTAAAAGAACCTACTAACTCTTGTCTTTTCTATTCATTTTAAATAGGTGCGAAGGTCTTAAAACTTATTTTGGACAAACTACCTTCAAGCATTTATCCTCAAAAATATCCTTAAAAGTCATCTGAAAACTTACATTGTATTGTTCCAAATTCTTCTCCTTATTGGCCTCTGTATCCTCCAAATCCTTGTGTATAGCTGCAATCTGTCGCTTCTTGTCATTGATAGCTTGATCGAGGGACTTCAGTTCTTTCTTTATCCACTTATCTCTTTCTTCTTTTGAAGTAAACTGGCTTCCTCGACCCTGTTTTGCATAAAGGTCTGTTCGTTCCTGTGTAGCCTGGGCAAGTCTAGTTTGGGCAGAAAAAGACATAGAATATATCATACAGGAACTCCAAGTTTACTTAGAACAACCATTAAAATAAATTAAAAAACAAAACAAAACAAACAAACAAAAAAACCCCAGAGGATTCTGGAGAGCTTCCTCACTTATCTCTACCACAACAAAGACACTGCCCGGTGACATTTAAATGGTACTCTGAATATTGATTATTTTTTCCCTCAAATCCCTTAATACTAAAAAGTGGCATCTCAGTAAGCTACCTATGTATTTATATAGCTAATCAATTCTCAGGCAGCAAGTATGATTCTGACTGCACATCACTGCTGATAATATCTCTACTTCCTAATATTATTTGACTCTCCATTGTGAAATGGCACAAACCTGGCAATTCCTCTCTCTTCTTTTTCTTTTACACTGTTGAATTTGGGCTCTGTTTCTGCTAATTCTTTTTGCTTCTCTTCAATTTTCTCAAGCAGTTTTTGCCTCTCCTTTAACAGTCTTTTCTGAAAGCAAAACAAAGAAATATTTAAAGTTAGCCAAGATCAGAAATTATAATATTATTAAACAAAACCCGCCTGGACGCAGTCCTGTGCCACGTGCTCTAGGTGACCCTGCGAGTGCAGGGGGGTTGGACTAGATGACCTCTAGAGGTCCCTTCCAACCTTAAACAATCTGTGATTCTGTGAAAAACACATTTCTAAAGAGTATTTTAATTCTAAGAAAGCAAGACACTTGCTTATCTCACACTGTCCTGATTGAACATGTAACAGCAGTCTATTCGATCACAGTCAGGACAGCAAAGAGGGATGACAACATTATTCTTGAAAAGAAAGGTCAGCATTGGTCAAACAACCAAGACCAAATTAAGAACCTTACAAAGGAAAGCCTCTTTTCCAGCAGTACTTTGTTATTTAAAAAAAAAAAAAAAAGCTGGAAAAGAGATCAGGATAACCATGGCTACTCGATTCTTCATTTTGCAGTATGTGATAAGAGTCCTTCTTGTAAAAGGATTGTTATTTTCTAAAAGCAAAAGCTATAATACAAGCATACTACCTTGAAACCATCACACTTTATACTTCACCTTTGTTACTTACCCTTTGTTCACTGTTCCCAGCTAATTCATCCTGTAGGTCCTTAGCCTTCAGCTCTAACTTAGTCCTCTGTTTAATCTGCTCCTGTCTTTCAGCACTGAGCTGTTCTTTTTCTTCTTTCATTGCCGAAATCTTAGTCTTCAGTTCTCGAACCTGCCGTTCTATTTCCTACACAAATGTTAAGCAAGTTTTCAATCCTGTATGCATACTCTAGTCAAGTCCAACGCATAGTTCAGTGCCTATGAAAACATCTTGATTACACAGTAATACTATGAAGTCTGATAAATCCTGCCCATTTTCAAACAGGACGAAGGCATAGATTTAGAATTTAACATGTTTTTGAAGTTAACTGCTTCAGCTCACACTAGAGGAACTCTTCTCATTTCAAGTTAATTAAGCTCTAAGATCTGTATCCAAATTCGGATTTAGATCAAGTATCCATAGAAAGAAAGAAAAAAAAGAATTTGATTACTACAGTCAATTACACTGTGTATATCCCATTAAGATAAAAAATAATAAAAAACCACTTGAAAGACTCCCTGTTAAATATTTTTACCTCCATTTTATCTCTGGCATCTTGCTGTGCATCTCTCAGCTGTCTAGATTTCTCTCCACTTGTCTCTCGTTTGGCAGAAAGCTGCAGGGAAGTATTAATTATATCAGCAAGAATATACTTTAGCAAACTTCTATTTTCAAAAGGACTAAACCGATGCGTTAGGCTAGCTAAGGATATTGACAAGATTCCATCAAGGAAGGCAAAGAGGTGTCTGCATAAAGCAGACCAAGAGTTCATATTATATTTTGTAGGTAAACAAGATACTTCACCTCATCAAGCTTTGCACGAGTTTCATTAAGCTCCTGATTATAAATTGTGTATTCTAATGCTCTCCTCATTTTATCCCATTTCTGGTACTGGGCTAGCTCCTCTTTCTCCTCTTCTAGAGTATGCAGTCGCTCTTCAATGTATTTTAACAGCTCATTGATCTTCTCCCGCTTGCCCTCTTTAGAAAAGATGAGACAAGACTTATGTTAAACACTGTAATATATTCCCATAGCTCTAAAGCCTGTTAACCTAAGTCATTAACTACTGATCAAATATTTTTAACAGAAAGAACTGTCTAGACTTCTTCAAACAGCCACTATAGTATGCACAGCATATGGCGAGGCTAAGTTACACAAAGCAAATATGCATTTTCTTCGTTCACAAACACGATTACAGACACTACATAATCTTACTAAGTAGCAGTAAATATGCTAAAGATTTTTTATATGTGTGTGTGTGTGTGTGTATACATAAATATATACATATAAATACACACACTTTTTTGGATGCATGCCAGCTGGTAGTTCTACTTACATGTTTGGAAGAGCATGCCCGCTATCTTATCAACCCATCTAAAAAGGATGCTTTATTTCAAAAATGATGTTAAGTCGCTTATTAAACCTTTCAATATTTCAATACAAAGAGGAAATAACATACTCTGCATTAAATAATGCATCACAAATAAAAATCAAGCCATTAGTTTTACTGAAAAAGGCATAAACCATTATTTAAAGTGGCAGAAAATGTTCACTCTTTAAAATATTCTTACCTGTTTCTTTCATTAGTGAAATACTCTCCTCTTTACGCTCGTCATACACTCTGGTACCAGCTACTTCTCTTAGTAACTTCAGTCTCTGAGAGTCAGGAGCTGTGGCCATCTGGTTGATCTGAAAATTCAAGATCTACAATGTCAATATTCTGCTCTGGATATACAAGCTACCACAACAGATATGAAAGACGGGACTCTGCACTTACTTGACTGAGGTTTTGGCAGGAAGATTCAATTTCTATTTTATACCATACTGTTCTCTTTATGAGACAAGACCTTTCAGACAGTTAGTATTCTACTTATAATTCACTTTTTTTGGTCTTCAAATGCCAGCAGTTATTGCTGAAACTCAAGATGACACTATTTTGCAGACTGAAGAAACTATCAGGTCAAACTTACATTCAGAGAAACTCATGCTTGGGCTTTTTAAGTTCTGTTGCTAAAATCAGCTAGCTGAAAAATCTTCACTAAGACCACAGCACGACATACCCACCAACGCACTAAAAGAGTCATATAATTAAAGATCAGGTCAGTGGCTGCATGCTTCCAGAATTACATAACTTTGCAATTTGTATAACCTATAAAGTAGTATATGTATTTTGATTTTGTACTTGCTCTAGGAGTTACATGCACTAATTGCCACTACAAAACAGTGATTTTGCAAATGGGTTTTGTTTTCTACCAGGTACAAGCTTGCAGCTGTAAAGGAATAGTTATGTTGATAAATACTTAAGAGACTATATTTCTGGGTCAGCACTGTTGCCTCCAAGTCCTCCAGGCCACCTGCATTTCTCTTTTTGAATAGGCCTTTCTAGAACCTTTGGGAGCCAGTTGCTATCAGTGTCTTCATCCTGTCCCACTCCTACAGGTCATTAAAAGCCATCACTGTTCTTTTGTTTCCAGATATGGGTGTCTTTTGAAAGGACCGGGGTCCTGAAGACCTGTTAATGTGGGTATCACTGATGCAGGCCATGCTGAGAGCCCTTTCCCTGCTGTGCTTTCCTTTCAGTGCCTTCACATCCAATTCTCACTTTCTCCACACTATTTATAGCCTCCTGTTATAATTCTTTACAACTACTTTTACAAGTCTGAGACATAAACCTAGAAATCAGCACTGAAATAAGTAGAACAAGTAAGGTTTTTTTATACTTAAATGAATACCAGGCATGTCATTACACAGGTTACCCAGAAAAAGCCTTTTACAAATATCAAAATTATAGACTTTAACTGCATATAATACAGTAATAGTATCATTTACAAAAGGAGCATCTGCAAGAACTGTTTCAAACTAAAATAGATTGGTTTACTTCTGCAATAGAACAAAAATGTGTCACTGAAGAAAGAGAATACTTTTGACAGCAATTTGTTTTGCTTCGTGGAAAAATAATCTTACCTTTCCTTGCTTCACAATATAGTATGGATTACTGCGAGAAAACCCAGCACTTTCAAGCAGATTCATTACGTCATTTTTCCTGAAAGCAGTATTTTCAATATATTCAGAAAAAAACCTTACAGCAAGTGACAGTTTCAAAAATACAGTAGTGTCAGAATTATCTATCTAACACTATGATTACCATATGCCATGCAAAGAAGTCTGTTAATAGCTAATTCTAAAATTACATAAGAAAACAAACACATAGAACTATAACCTCGTAAAGAAATTAAGAAGCACTTTGCAGCACAAAAGGCAAATACAGGTAGAGATGCCACACTGAAGGATATAAAAAACAAATTTTGATAGACCTTGTATTTTAATGAGTCCTGAAAATTATCATATGAGCAATTAAACAGCATATTCATTAATGGATTCATCCATAAATTCAAAGTCTGCTGCCCATTACACAAAAGCTGATGTCTTTGCTGTCAAACTACTGGTAGTGTGCATTATACAACTAAATTATTGCTAACAATGAAACTCATGAGAATTATTTTTGTTTCAGACTACAGAAAATTATTTTGCATGGCTAAAGTATTTTACAGTTATATTTCTCAGTTCATTCAGGTAAGGAAAAGAAGTACCTACGTCACCATTTTCTTGTCCAGGAAATATTGGTCTTTTTTTGCTCCTATGACTCTGCGAAGTGAAACTTCTTCTTTATCAATCTTAAGGGGGGGGAAAAAAAAAAAAAGGAAAACAAAAAACAACAACAACAAAAAACACACAATGTTTTGACCTGCTTACAATAAATACGTATAACAAATCTGAAATGCTCACAGCACTTTCTACCAGATCTGACTCAAAAGCAAAGTTACTGTGTTGAGAACATTTATAACATGAAAACATCAGAGCCCCAAGTTACTGTTTGTGAAGGAGTATATTCAACTTACCGGTAACCTGTTGTCTGAATTGTCAAAAATAATTTCCACAAAAGCCGAAATAACACGGGGACCTGTACCTTCCTAAGAAAAGAGAGTATTTTATTTAGAGACTTCTCTCTTCAGAGATCTTCCCTTTCCTCGATAAACACACTCTCCATTTACTTCAAGAACTTCTACATAAGATCAGTAAATACATTTTTATTTCTGAAAATTGTGGACAGTCATCCACATGCATGTATTAACTACCCACGATAGCATAATATATTACTTGGCAACAACTTTTGTCAAAGGAAAACATGAAAAAAAAATGTTTAAGGAGGTTTCCAAATATAACTGGCTTACAATACTAACACACCAGTAATCTAACAATGTTGCAGTAACAATCAAAAGGTCTAACTTATTATTCTTTTGCCTTGTTGTTATACACCTTTACTTACATGCAACAAAGCCAGGCGCTGCTCTGGGCGAAGATGACTGAACTCATCACTGAGGACAAACTGAATTGCTGTAACAAAAAAGCAACAAAACCAAGATTTGTTCTTTGCTTTAGAGAGGTTTTTCAGTTGTTTCTGTAGCTCAAAATGCACATTTTTAAATGTATGTTATATTCATGCCACTGTTAATACTTTACAATGTCTCAAAAAAGCACACCTTTACATTGATCATTTAGTTTACTTTACATTAGAATTTCTTTAAAGAATTCTCACTGCTGCTGTCTTACCAGCTCACTTCTAAGCATTAGTGATTCTGCATGTGCAGGGGATCATGAGCTGGCAAAACACCGTCTACAAAATACATCTCTGCACACAGCTACACCACAAAATACACTAAAATACTATTATTAGTACTTGGAAGTTCATAAATACTACCATCACACAGGGGCTACTAAAATATTTGGCTAGCCTCTTTGCTCCTCTGTTGAAGCCCTTATCGCCTTCCCACCCCCAAATATTGACTATATAATCATATAATCAAAATATATTCATACTGTTAAAAGGCTGCATCTAAGCAAGCTTTACACCATGCTTGAGGGAATTGGCTTAGAACTTAGTTAGAAAAAGAATGTTCAATGTAACTGCAAATACTATGATCTGCTTGAAAGTTTGGTGACATCTAGAATCAGCTTCCTTTTCTTAATAATCTTTGTCATTTGAAGAAAAAACAAAAACAAACAAAGAAACTTCCAAAGCTTTTTACTAAAGTCATTCTTACCAAAGGAAGAAACTTTGGTAAACAAAGTAGTATATCACCAGCACCTCAATACTAGTAAATAAACCCCATACTTACCATAAAAGAAGTTACTTTTCCCAGATCCATTTCTTCCCACTGAAAGTTAAAAGCAATATAAAGCATTAAACTGCAAGCTGAAATAAATTAACTTTGCAATGTACATTACAGTTTGCATATAAATACATGCAAAAGCAGAATCAAACATAACACAGCTAAACAAATAAAACCTCAAGGGAACAAGACAAGCTTAGCAGATGGATCCCTTAGTCACTGTCTGCAAACAAGGCAGAAGGAGCCTTACAATAACTTACAAACCACAGCAATATTCCAGTCACAGTAATGGTTAAAGCAATTTTAGTTACTGTTCCTACGGCCACCCAGCACACCAGGCTCTTGGTAACAATCACTGACCATGAATGTGACAGAAGCTGCTTTGCCAATAACCCAACCTCTCTTCCACAACTGACACACACTAGAGTGTGTTGTCATCTTATTTACCCTGCTCCATATTCCATCGTTCCCTAAAATATTACAGAAATAGTGAACATATCATTAAAATAATGTTACAGTTTTCTTTTGGAAATGGCATGTTTTTGTTTATTTATTTTAAGGGACACAATGGTAAAAACAAAACTCCACTCCCACACCCTTTATAAATGTTTATTTCTGTGTGAAATATTAACTTCCACTACAGTAACATAACATTGGAATATTCTATTCAAGTAGTATGCACAATATTTTGAATTTTAGAGTAAACTCATGACTACCAATCTTTTTTGCGTAAAACTGTTTTCTGTTGAGTCAGCAGTTTGCTGTCACTCAATTCAATGAAAAAGACAAGGTGGGAGTAGATGTCCACGAGCAAAAAGAGGAAGAGGCATGAGAATGATGGACAAAAACATTCACTTAGATTAGCAGATATAAAACTACAGTTTTAAACTTGTATTCTACTTAAGGCCCCACAATGTAGAAATAAATTATTCCAAACAGTGAGAAAGAAAGATCATTATTATTTTTCTCTGCAACCGTTTAGGATAGTCAAGGTGCTTCTCACCAAAAACAATCACAGGCACACAAAAACAAGTGAAACAAAACCAAAATACTCCAACCCAACCTAAGCAAAAACTCTACACTTGTTCCTGCAAGGACAGCCCTTAAAGGCTAGCACATGGCTTACGCAGCAGTCTCGCACATGAAGGAGCTGACCACACTCACTTACTGAGACATAATGTTGTCATAGTAAAAGTGTATGCTAGCATTGCTTTGCTGCAATTGGAATCTACCTTGCAATAAGTCACAGATAACTTTAAAAGAAGTCTCATGTGGAGACAGTAAAAATACAGTATTGAAAGGTAGCAAGCGTATTTAAAAAGCATGAAGGACTGTAGGCTGAATGCAACTATGCACCACTAGCTAGAATTATCAGAACTTACCAATGACATTGTGTTTTGGGCTGAACGGGTCCACAATGGTTTGGTCTCTGTAGCTACGAAAGCCTTGAATGATTACCTAATGGAAAAGGGAGACGTTGAAACAGTTATCTCTGTTCTTACAGAGATTTTTTAAATTCAAGTCTTCATGAAATATTTGTAGCAATTATAATACACCTGATGGTTTTTCTGTTCCAACTTTCCGTTCTAACTTTCTCAAGAGCAGCAACTTGCATTGTAAGACTCTGCCTTTCACCTAATTATCACTTTACGAGAACAGATTATTTTCCCCATGTTATGAGGTATCTATCTAGGCCAATGCATAATCAATGTGAGAATCCTGCAATAAAGTAGGTCTTTCTGCAACAGTATAAAACTACATAAAAAGATACACTTCTATTAATATTAACAGACAAGAAAGAAGTTCAGAATAACCAGCATACGCTCTACTGGGGTCAGAATATAATTAGTTTCATAACAATCCACACACACATCGTAACAGTTCACTTACAAGTTCTAACTACAGCAGTTGCAGACCATAAAAGTCATGCTAGACTGTTTATCTATTTCATATTCAAAAAAAGTATCAGTTAATTATTTTGTTTCTACTGCACAACTACAAGAAAAAAAAAGTCTAAATATTAATAGGCTTACCAGTGTCAATATAAAGTTAAGAAATACTACCCAAGTCTTCATCTTCCTTCCCTCAGAGGCATGTTTACTAGTGTTTATTATTTGCACTAAACTGGCAACCTAAAGGTGAGGAGCAGGATGTGATCTTCATTAAAGTTAAATCGCTGCCTAAATGGTCAATCAATGCATTTAAAGAGCCATGCAGCAAGCTAATCTAGAAGCACATCAAATTTCAGCTCTATTTAATTGTATGTGAAGTTTGTCAAGTCAAGTAACAATCCGGCTGCTGGCACACATGCTTAAGCATTAAACAACCCTTTCCAACCAAAGGATATCAAAAGGATTAAAAAAAAAAAAAAAAAAAAAAAGAGCCTTAACATGTGTCCTCCCCTCACCTTTCCTCCACCTGAAAATAAATGCTGTTAAAATAACATCATCAATATTTAATCATGATACCTACTGTGAAGAATGAAGGACAAGTGTCTTCCAGAAATATATCCCAACACAATTTGCTGTCTTCCTAACATTATTACTGCTTAAATTAGGAATTAAAATGATTTAGAATAGAATTTGTTTAAGGCCAAGTCGCTAGAGTGCCATTGTTTTCCACCACCTACCACTTATTTCAAGTTTATAAATAGTCCCAATAATCCAACAGTACCTACCAGATAGGAAAAAAAAAAAAAAAAGAAAGAAAAAAAAAGAAAAAAAAAAAAGTAACACAAACACTAGGAAAGTACTGCAAACATAAAGCAAGCTTTTTTTTTCCTTCACTATAAAAACTTGAGACAGGTATAACAACAAGAAGCACATTCATTCATGAAAAGTTTGATCTTGGTTACTCCTCCCCTAATCAAGGGATACCACAGAAAACACTTCTTGCTTGCTTTAGTCAATCAAAGACATTTCACCAAAAATGCCAAACCCAAACAAATAGCAAATTCAACATTCTGGGTTTACTGAACGTTAAATACAACACAAGTTTTTGACCATCCTGTAAGGAACGAACCATTCTCCCTCCTTCCAGATGCTGCACTTGCCTGATTAACTCCTCTTTGCAAAATTATTCCATTAATAAAATATGAAGCTGAAAATATGGATAGGCAGCAAACATTGGTTCTTGACCACCATAAATAAAAACATGGCAACAACAGCCATGTTTTTATATTTTGGAAAAATAAAGTCTCAGCCACTTCATGCCGTTCTTTTTTTTTTTTTTTGTCTAAGTGTTTTTTGAACTACAGGTGTTTGTGATCCCTTTCCCGCAGGTGAAATACAATTCTCAGTTATCACCATCAATTACAGTCACTGGGATACCTGCACTGCATTCAGATCTAGATCCAAAGCACTTGCGTTTGGAAATAATTTAGAATTTCAGGACTTAATGGGCAAGCATTAAGTTTAAGGCAACACGTTTAACTGGACACCTCTCTCTCCTCCTCTTCCTTAGGGTAATGGTCAGGTCCTTCCTCAGCATCGGTGCCTCTCGGAGAGCAGGAACACAGCAGGATTCTCACTTTGCTACTGCAACTTGCCCCAGGCCACCGCAACTACACTCACCCCTGCTGGTTTGGGAGAGAAATAAAAACACTGCCCAAACAACACATCTGGTTGCTGGTATTTTTCCAGTATAACTCCAATACCCCTAAAGTTGTCTAGATTTGAGTGATCTTTCTACTTTATACACAAAGCAATATAAGATCTCTACAAAAAAACAGGGAAAAACAAAAACTTAATAAGCACTACTATACAGGCACAAAGTTTTGCCATCTGCATACCTATGCAGCAAAGCTATAATACGGACGGTCTTTAACTCGTGCACTTACAGTGATACAGAGTAGAAGACTACCAAAGGGCATCTACAACAGTTCCTCAACATCCAAATAGTTTAGGAAAGGCTGATTTTGCAAACAAAACAGATTGAACATAATATTATTCTTACTGAAGATACCTGTACGGGGGCCACATGCCTGATTAATTCTGAGCTCACTATGAAACGTGAATCCCAGCAGTGATATCTGAGCTCGCAGAGATAGTGGCAGGGAAGCAGCCACCAAGATTAAGCCCCGCTTTGCAACACGCGGGACTGCAGGGACCAGCAAAAAACATCAGCGATGCCTCAGCCGTGAAAGCTGCTTGGCAAAGCGCCGCGCACAGACGCTCTCCGCACCTGAACGCGTTGGTATCAGGGGTGAGCTGCGGAGGCCGGGCGGTCCGCGCCCCGCAGGACGGCGGCCTCCCCCGGGGCAAGCAAAGGCCGCCAGGCCCGAGAGCCGCCCCCCGGCTGCAGGCCAGGCCTCGGCGCGGCGCCTCACCTGCTTGATGTACATGTCTG